TCTTCTTTTTGCTACACCTGTGCAGTCCCACTGAGGTTCAAAGATTTGCAGAGTGTAACTGAGAGATGAATGTGATCTTAGGAGCATACTGTGAAGAATCTTTCCTTTGTAGCCTACAGAATTGAATGGAAGCGAAAAAAGGCGAGGATTGGAGAAAAGGGCATTGAGGAGAAAGCACACAAACCAGTTTAGAAGGATGCTTCTGTGGGAGACATTTAACGTGACAGAAAGCATTACAGGTAGCCATAAAGCATAGTCTGTGCTTTTACTAGTACTCTACAAAGTAAACATGATTTCCAACTGGAGGGTCTTACAATTACACCCTTTACAAGATGGGTATTGTAAATAGCAGCAGAGTGTGTTGAAAGGCTACAGAGAGAGAGAAAAATCATAAAATGAAAATTGGTGGAAAGCAATTAATCCAAACGGAGATTAAGAAATGCTTTGCTAGAATGTAGGCGACCCTGTATGGAAACGTTAACTTCAGCATGGCACACTTACTTTTATTTCTCCACCCATCATGTTCCTTCTTCCTACCATCTCTGTGTTGATTTTTAACATGACTCAAGGAAAAGTTGAGTCTGTTTCATATCCTTTACATAGTCAACAGTCATCTTTCCTTTGTGTTTAGAGTTTTCTATCTGGACCAAATGAGTGAAAGGGCAATTCAGTTTTATTTAAGCTTAGCCACTCTGCATGTCTGCCAGAACACAGACAAATGTTGAGAGGGACAGCTGTTCACAAGAAGTTGGACTAAGACAATCAGCTTATTTCATGAAAACCAAGATGAACAGCTGTCAAATAGCAGCAAAATTTCATCACTAGTGAAGCTATTAGGAAGTTCCGAGCTGAAAATTTGCTTTAATATTCAGAAGTAGGGATGGGCAAATGGTATTTTCTTTTCTTACTTCGCTGGGAATTAGGAAAAATCAAATTTGGAGACTGCTTTCTCAACATTTGTGCTTGGAGTCATTAGTCATGTGGTACAGAAGTTTTCATTTACAGCTTACCACTCCGTTACATACTCACGTCATTATACATGGTGACAAAGGTGTTATCATCTAATGACTCTCCTGTGGCCTACTTGAAATGAGTTTGGTAATCCCCGTCCAGTGGACAGGTGTCCCTATCACAAATCAGCCAATAAAAAACTACAAATACTTATGCAACACTTTTCACCACTAGATCACAGAGTGCTTAACCAAGTCAGGTGGAAGTATCCTTTTCCTAATTGTACAAATGGGGAGATAGATTGTCAAGCCACCCTTTTCATCAGCATCAAAATAGTTAGTGTAACTAACAAATTCTAATAGCTTTGAGTTTAACAGCCCTCTCACTTGTGTTCTGTGAAAGAAAAAAAGAGGAAAGAATGAGCAACATTCAGGAAGGAGGGCAGTACTGTAACATTTGGAATAGACAGTCTACAGCTGTTCACTGTGTTGTAACGAAGTGCTCATATAAGACAGACGCGCAATATTTAGCAGTATCATGTATCCTCGTCACTGTGAGCTTCGAAAACAAAATGGAATTCAACTATTTTTTTTTCTTCAGTTTTTTAAAAAGTGAAAGTTAGCCAGGAAAAAAAATCATGCGTTTTCGCTGGAAAATAGTCTCTACATTTCACTAAAATTGTTCTGGCTTTCCCTTACTAGACTTTAAGATTAACAACAGTGATCCTTACAGTTTAAGGAATGGAACATCAGAGTTTTCTGATGTTCAGAATGGATTGTCTAAACTCCTCATATAAACAGCTTCATTGAGGTGGAGTAAAGACTGTAAATTTTACAGCTGATTGGGAAATGCATTTTATTTCCCATGAAAAATTGTAAACATTTCTTGCTGAATATTTTGGGGCTTTTGTTGGCAACATTTTCCAGATTTTGGTTGTCCAAAAAGCAAAGCAAAACAAAAACACCCAGCGTTTTTTTGTAAAGAAAACATTTTGATGAAAATAGAAACTTTTTCATTAAAATTTCTGTTAACTTGAAAAGGCATTTTTCAGGACTTTTTTCCCCAGTGAAAATTTTTAACCAATTCTAGTAAATACTCATCAATATCTTTAAAAAGCTGGTAATAAAATGTTACCTCTTAATTCTCACCACCTTGTATTCTCATCTTGTCATCTTGTGCTTAAAAAAAAAGAAGACAAGATTAGATTTCAGCAACTCAAGAGTTACCACCTATAACAGACTCTTTTTCCAATAAGGCAATTAACACCATCTCTAAAAAGCTATCAAGTACAGACTTTGGAATTTCTTCTTTAAAATGCTTTAGGGGAAAGGTAGCAAGACAATGGAAGGGCTCCCATGGACTTCAGTGGTTTTGCATCAGGCCATAAGTTATGATTAAAAGTGTTTGATGGTGGTGGAAAGTAGGCCGGCATAACTTCACACAAATTCCAAGCTAATGTAATTGTGTAGTGCTGCAGTAATAAAACAAGGATTCTAAAACATTTTAACCCCTTCAAGATTAAAGTACTATTAATACAACAAAGTTCAATAACATGTAAAGAAAGAGAGTCAAATTATTTGGGATCTGTGACACCAAACTAATGAGTCCACTATTGGAATTTCACCAATATAAATGAGGCCAAAATGTGACCATATGGGCTTAAAAACTGACCACATCCCAGCATTTCCAGTAAATTAGCAGGATAAAAATGCCTCCTTTCTTGGCTCACTAATTATTCTCAGTACATACTCTCTGATGAAAACCTTTCCAAAATCAAATCTATCCTACAATAATTTTGGTTTGCAGGAGCTGAAGAATGAGACATTATGGAGTGCTGTTAATATCATAATTATGCTTTCAAATGCACAAACTAAATTTGGATGTGCAATTAGGTAAATAATCACTGAAGGGAAAAGTTAAATATTGTAATTACATGCTAAAATAGCTGAACATACCCTCTCCCACACCTGCATGTTGCTGTGTGTAGGAAAGTAGTCTTGTGAACTGCTTACTGTCTGTTTCAGATCAAAAGCTTATTTAAATACAATCACTTTGAATGCACCACTGTTATTTTCACATGCCCAACACAAACATATCTTTGAATGTATTTGTGTATGTCTCCTTTGAGCATCACAGAGGAAAAAAAATAACCAAATCAAACCATCACAGAACAGTACCACCACAGGGGTCTGATTTGGCAGCTTGTACTTGTCTTGAGTGGTAGTTCCTTATACAGTTGGTGCCATTCAATTCAATGGATTTACTCAAATGATTCGATTCAACTCAAGGTAAGTAAATATTTCACAACTGTATCTGTAATCAAAGTCCTTAATCCTGAGCACATGGCTCAGAGTGCATAACATAGTCACAATACTTTGCCTGTTTTTATGTTTTCAAATTGGCTGTGCACATACTGTGAAATTCCTGAGTTGATTCATTGTGCGGCATTGCTTGCAAATTTTGAATAAATGGGAATTATAATTGCCATCTGAATTTACCCTGTATTGGTTTAGTCACGCCAGGCATTCAGTATTCATAGTGTGTGAGTACTCAGACTAGGAAGGCTTGCCCCCTGAAAGTGTACATGGCATAGGATGGCTCATCCCCTTTAAGAGGTAGTAGGGCCAGGGGCCAAGCCTTGTTCCTGGAGCAGATGATGGGAGACAGAAAGTAGTCCCAGAGTAATAGAGTCTGGAGAGGAAATGGGTTACTCTCTCTATAAAGACCTAGGACCCGGTACCCTTGTGATTTAGGGGGTGGGTAAAGCTTCCCTGTCTCTCAGCCAACCAAGTCAAGGGTTGGGGAAAAGAGGGCATAATGAGGTGGAGCTGCAGGGAGCAGGAAGCTCTTGATACTCCAACAGGGGGAGGCTGTTTGCTTGCCAGCTGCCCAATGGCATGACAGCTTCCAAGCCATAGAGGAATGCAGAAGATTGGCCAAAGACTGCCGCTCAGCAAAGATGCGGGAGAAAGGGCTGTTATGCAGGTTTTGTTTTGAGTTCTGTGTCCTGAAAAGATAGGCAGCCTGGGTGAAACTGGAGGAGGATCATTTAAAGGGACTAGGGAAAAGCACAGCACAAGCCTCAGAAGAAGGGCTATGGAATCCCTTAGTCAAGAGGGAAGTGTTTGGGTTCAGAGGACACCTGGTATTTCTGTACAAAGATTCAGGAAATTAGACCCCAGAAAGGGAATCTTTTTTGAAAATACTGTTGGCCTATAGGTGGGATGGCTTGGCAGGTATGACACACCATCCTTCAGGAGCTGGCTACCCACTGTAATACACAGAAGGGTTGGACTGAAATTCACATTTTAATTTGAATGAATGTTTGCAGAGACTGCTTTCCACAATCTGCTCAGCTCTCTGTGTTAGCAGCAGCTGCCTTAATATAGTGTGTACTCGTGGCCATTCTGACTGATTCAGAGCCTACAGAGACTATATTTCCAGAATGAAAGGTCTATAAAAGTTTGAAGTGACCTTTTAATGTATGATAAACAACTTCAACAAAAATTGCTGTACTCTACCTGACTTGAACATCCTGGAAAGAAAATGATACAATTACAACTCTTCCCCTGGCATTGTTACACATAGAAAGATCCCACTGTTTTACCGCATCTGGGACTGAGCGTTTCTCTTAAAAACCAATTAATAAATCTGGAACACTTCCCAGGTTATGTAGGTGGCTCACTGACAAGCTGGAAGGTGAAGTCGAATCCGGAGGCAGACTCTGGAATAGCCACATTTGCAGTTGGTGAACTCCCTCTTCCTTTTTTCTGAAACAGCTCTAGGTGATTTCCAAAAGAATTTTTAAGCATTTTTGGGCTGCTGGCTGACTTTTTAGCCAATACATGTTAAAACAGCTGTGTGCCAGATACTATACACAGCTGCTAGTGCCACTGCTCAGATCTTGTCCCTGGGATAATCCAGTGGCTAGAGAGAAGAAAAATTGTGTGTGTGGGGGGGGGGGGGGGGGGGGGAAGGGAGGGAGAGAATATATTCAAGAAAGAGAGATGTCTTTGTCACAACCAATAAGTATTTATTTCTTCTTCCAGAATGCCTGTTTTTTCCCTCTTTCATATCAAGGCAGGGAGCCTGAAACTTGCTGAGATAGCACACAGTGCAGGAGTAAGTAATTTTCATCCTACCCCCTTTGTATTGCTCATTTCAAAGTACTGGAGAGATTGCACTACCTTACCAGTGAGGGTGTTTTGATTGCACTTGTGGGTGCTCTTATTGAACTCGTACTCTTATTTGTAATAAGACAAAACAATTTTTTTAGCCGCTTGCCTGCTCTTAAGCTCTTTACTGACATTAACTAATTCAGTCTCACAGCATCCCTCTGAAACAAGTGGATAAATGTCATTATCCCCATGTGACAGATGGGGAAGTTGCAACAAAAAAATGAATTAACCCACTCAAGGGCCACTTGGCCACCTATGACCATATGCCTACATCTCTGGACAAAACTGCCTGTATTTATGGCATATTATAGTTCTATATTGTTTCATAAAGAACACGATTTGCCCGGGGCTCACAGGAGTGCCTCTCATCTTTGAATCGTAGAACCATAGGGCAAGAACAGATGGCAAGGGCTACCTAGCTAAGATGCAGGATGGTTGTGTCTAAACCATCCAAGGCAAACAGCTATTCAGCCTCCTTTGGAAACAGGAGACAGGATACTGGGCTAGAGTGACCTTTGGTGTTCTTACGTTCTCTGGTAAAGGAGCTTCCACAACCTCCCTAGGTAGTCTGTTCCATTTTCCCACTGTTCCTACAGTTTAAAAGTTTTTTTTCTGAGATTTAATCTAAATCTGCTATGCTGTTGTTTGAACCCACTGCCTCTTATCCTGCCCTCTGTGGCAAGGGAGAACAACTTTTCTCCATCTTTTTAATGACAGCCTTTCAAGTATTTGAAGACTGCTGTCGTGTGTGCCTTTCATCTCCTCTTTTCCAAACTAAACATACCCAGCTCCTTCAGCACATGCTCATATGGCTTGCATTCTATCGCTTTGTTTGCCTCCTCCCTTCCCCCCCCATCTGTTCCAGTTTTTCTGCATCCTTTCTACACATTGGTGACCAAAATTGGACATAATCCTCCAGGTGAAGCCCAACCAGTACCAAATAGAGCAGCAGTATCACTTCCCATAAATTGCATGGGATGCCCCTGTTAATTCAGCCTAAAACTGCATTTGCATTGTCTTGATAATGACTACAGAATTCTTCATCAATAACTAAACAGAAGCTGGAAAAACTAGAAAGATACTTATATGTGATGCCAAATGCAGCACAGTGAATAACGTGTGACAAACACACTACTACTGGGATACCTTAAGCAAAATAAGTTCATCTTTCTTTCTTGTATTTAAATTTATATCTTACTGGAAATTCCATTAGAATCCTTCAGATAGTTTTTGTTGTAAGGTCACTAGGCTCAGGAGCCAGTGACCGCTGACAATATGTTTACCCTACACATTCTTTATCATCCCACAAACTGTATGCATTTAAATTAATACTTAACTGAACAATTTTTGTGTTACTTAGAGATGCCATTGCACCTGGCAGGTTTGGTTCATTCTTGCTTGAAAATTTCCTGCACCTGAGGGAATTGGGCAATACCACGGTAATGAAAAACACATTTTAATTGAAATTTAATTGTAAAGAGTTGAAGGCATTTATAACTAATTTCAATAAGGAGCTGAGCTCTTAAACCCAAATGTGTTGTCCCTAGCTGCATAGCAAAGTAGGCCCCCTAATCCAATCTATATTAACCACTACCTTCCCTGATACTTAAGAATAGCAATAGACAGTTGGCTGCACTTGGGGGGAAGGAGAAGTGGACAAGGAAAGCAATAAAATGAGAGATTATAAAAAGCTAGCAATGAGCCTGAGCCACTCAGTTGGGATCTCAACATATGGAGGATGTTAAGATATGAAGTTCATCCTGGTGTAGCTTTCAATAAACATTTCTCAAGTTCAGCTCTGGATGGCTGTGTCTACATTGGCACCCTTTTCCGGAAAAGGGATGCTAATGAGACACTTCGGAATTGCAAATGCCGCGGCGGATTTAAATATCCCCCGCGGCATTTGCATGAACATGGCTGCCGCTTTTTTCCGGCTCGGGGCTTTGCTGGAGAAAAGCCCCAGTCTAGACGGGAGCTTTCGGAAAATAAAGCCTTTTCCAGAAGATCCCTTATTCCTTTTAAAATCAGGAATAAGGGATCTTCCGGAAAAGGCTTTATTTTCCGAAAGCTCCCGTCTAGACTGGGGCTTGAGGGCGGGGGGCTGGACTCGATGACCTCCTGAGGTCCCTTCCAGTCCTATTATTCTATGATTCTATGTTCCTGCAAATGTCGTGGGGGATATTTAAATCCCCCTCGGCATTTGCAATTCCGACTGGTCTCATTAGCATCCTTTTTCTGGAAAAGGGTGCCAATGTAGACACAGCCGATCTGTATTTCCTACAGTAGTGGTCCCTAACGTGGGTGCCATGGCGCCTGCCGGGGCATTTATGTGTGCCCGTTGAGTAACTAGGGCTGGCCCAAGCCATTCTTGCGCCCCGGGCACGGCACGGCTGGCTTGAGTCATTCCTGTGCCCCGGCAGTAGGCACATGACGCATGCGCAGCCCTGCCCCCTGGCGTGCTGCGCACTTTATAGCTTCAGTTGGGCACACGGTGCCTGATTGCAGCTCTAAGGGGCCTCCCATAGGTTGGTGCCCCAGGCAGCTGCCTGGCTAGTCCCCCCCTTAATCCGGCCCCGCCCCCACGGCACGGCTGGCTTGAGTCATTCCTGTGCCCCGGCAGTAGGCACATGACGCATGCGCAGCCCTGCCCCCTGGCGTGCTGCGCACTTTATAGCTTCAGTTGGGCACACGGTGCCTGATTGCAGCTCTAAGGGGCCTCCCATAGGTTGGTGCCCCAGGCAGCTGCCTGGCTAGTCCCCCCCTTAATCCGGCCCCGCCCCGGACGTCTGGCGCATATGTGGCCCCGCCCCCACATGCGCGCTGCATGAGCAGCCCCAACCCTGGGCACCCGGCAGCCCCAAAAGGTTGGGGACCACTGTCCTACAGGATCTTGGGGGTTTGGTTCCAGGCTCTTATGTCTTTCTATAATTTATAAAAAGAGATTGTAATTTCTAGTTGTGATAGATTTTGAGGTCCCCAGGTTACCCCCTGACTCTAGTAGGAGGAAATCTTGCTCGTGGTAATTGGGTGTTAGCTCCCAAATATCACCACCCTTTTAGCCAATCAAGCATTCTCCTGTCTGAGGCAGTCCTTGCAGGTTAACACAAGGTGCACCAGTCCCCAAGTCCCCTGTGATATCGAGTGTCTGACACTGGCTACTCTCAAAAATCCCAGATTGCCTCCTCAAAGGAGCAGTGTGTGCCAGTATTTCACTGCTCCTATATCAGACACAGCACTTGTAATGAAACAAAAGAAGGTTTATGTAAGAAAGAATGGAGATTCCACTGGAAACAAGAATATGCGATGGAAACAAAAGATTACAATACAAAATAAAATCCTAACACTGACAAGGGTCTCCTCTTATCAATAGTTGCCTTTCCTATGTAATTAAGTAGACTTGCCCCTCCTCCCTCACCCCAAAGTTCAGTCTGTGGCAGAGCTGTCTGTTCACAGGAACCGAGATCCAACTGTGCATGAAAAACACCTGCTTCACAAGATGGCTCCTCCGAGAATAGCTGTGGAGTATCTCTTCCCATTCTGAAACAGTCTTTTGTCTTTATCAAAGACAGGGCAATCCCTTGGCTGTTGTAATGGTTCTTGTTTACCTCCAAGGGGGCTGATTGTTTGCAGTTGCCTTTGATGGTTTTCCATTGCTTGTTCTGTTATGGAGACAATTGTAGATAGTGTATTATCTAACTGGCTAACCAGAGAGGGTGACAACTCCTTCCTGCATATACAGGCTGTCAATGAATAATATTACTCCCTGGTGACTCCTTTCAACTTGAAGACCATAAAGGGAACAGACGTTGATAGAGCTTACATTATTCCTTAAATATTACCCATACACATATTTCACCATGATAAGGTACCTGGTAAAAGCTTGAAACTTATATGTTCTCCTGGGTAGACAAATACCCTGCAAGCAGCATATTTGATGTAGTGAGTTGGTCAGGTCTGAGATTACAGTTGCTTGCAAAGAAAAGAGACTCTTTGCTAAGGGGCCTATATGTGTCACACTAGTTTTTGGAGAAGCTGCAGTTGGTATCTGTTAGCTTTGGGCCTGAGGCTGCTGTCACTTTTACGGGTGTTAACCAAGAGTGATACTTTGAAGTGAGCAGCGTTATACCAGTTTGAAACTAGCTTAAATAAGACAAATCAAAGTCTATTAAAGGAAAAAAATCTCTCATCTCTAGATGTCTTTCATAAGGAATTAATATTAAGTTGCAATAGTTCTGGCTTTCAAAATATCTTTTATTCCTTTGCTGTGTATATTATTGCTCCCCAAATTGTAATGACATTATGAACTGCTCAGGTGGAGATGTTCTTACAGATGAGGATGCAATTAGACCATTGAGTCTGCAACGAATGATGCCTCTCTGATGAGGAAACAGGGAGTAAAATGAATGCCTTGTTCAGGCTAGGACATGTACAAGTTTATAGTACTGTGAGAGCTTTTGTCTCTCTCTGGCATGTAGATGCACTGGCTTTGATGTTAGCATTTTGGCTCATTAATAACTGATTTACATTTCCCAGAAAGCAAATTGCGATCTGACACAAATTTATAAAGGAGCTTCAAATTGTGAAACTCTCTAGCACAATGAGCCCTTTGTGATTTTAACTTAAGGAGTTTGTGATTAAAATTTTAATATAATCATTGCAGTTTTGTGAGATGCTTGCAAACCTCCTCCCCACCCCCCTCTTGTTTCCTGCTTCTCAGAGTTCATGACAGTGGCTGTTCTAGTGCAAGTTTAAGTGTCTTGATTGGATTTCATTTGCTCTGAGACCCAGTCAAAATAAAAAGTCCCCTAAAGCAGAAAAGAAATTGAGGTGACGAATTCTCAGTTTTAGCTGAAGCTTGAGGAGTCACCTAAAGGATGGCTTACACTGTAGAGTTTCATTTCAGTTTAACTGTGAGCCAGACTGGCTCATGGTTATTCAAAACTA